CTGAGATGAGGACAATGTATCTGAGGTAATCGCGTTGTTTCTGAGATGAGGACAATGTATCTGAGGTAATCGCGTTGTTTCTGAGATGAGGACAATGTATCTGAGGTAATCGCGTTGTCTCTGAGATGAGGACAATGTATCTGAGGTAATCGCGTTGTCTCTGAGATGAGGACAATGTATCTGAGGTAATCGCGTTGTTTCTGAGATAAGGACAATGTATCTGAGGTAATCGCGTTGTCTCTGAGATGGTGAAGCTATCTCTGAGGTGATGACTTTCGGTTGTGACGTTGTCTCTGAAGTGAAAATGATGTCTCTATAAAGATGATGATGGTGATGATGGTGATGATGATGATGATGATGATAATGATGATGTCGTCTTTGAAGTGATGACGTGAGATAATTATGTTGTCTTTGAGGTGATGACGAGAGGTGATCATATTGTCTCTGGGGAGATGACGTGACGATGTCTCTGAGGTAATGACATGATATCGTCTCTTAGGCGGTGACATTGTATCTGGGGTTTGATGACAGTTTTCTCTGCTGTGGTCATGTTGTCGCTGCCTGAGATGATGCCGTTGTCTCTCAGGTGATGATGTTATTTCTGAGGTGTTGCCGTGAGCTGGTGACGTTGTAGCTAGGTGGTGACTTCGGATCGAGGTGACATTGCCTCTGAGGTGAAGATGTTACGTTGTCTCTAAGGTGGTGACATTGTTTGTGTGCGTGCGGTGGAATTGTCTCTGAGATGATGACGCTGTGTCTTAGGTCGTGACGTTATATCTGACAAGATGACGCTGTCTCTGAGGTGATGACGTAAGGTGGCAATGTTTTCTCTGGGGATTGTGACTTGTCTCTAGGGTAGTGAAGTTGACGTTCATTGGCGGTGGGTGGGTCAAAATTTGAGTGGGGCTTAGGTTCCTTCCACTTCTTTACCACAAAATAACAAGTAATAATAACTTAACAGTGATGATTTTTTTTTTACACTCACAGTGAGCCACGAAATTCTAAGAACTGTTCAAACGAGAAGTCAACTTTGTCCTCCATCTATTTGTTCTAAGCTACATTATTCTGGAAGGTGGACACGAGATTACTATTAAATCTCAGTGGCACAACCACAAGCACAAACGTGTACAGACAGCAATTCAAACATATTCCGTCTATGAACTGGATAAGGCCGTGTAGGAACGCACTCAACAAAGGTCCAATGAGCGCATAGGTAACTGTGTCAGAAGGGGATGGGGGGGGGGGGGGGTCTTGTAAACTTTCATCCCATTGTCAGGGCAAGGAGAGCATGAGCTCTCAGTAAAGTTTTCTTTTTTTTTTTAATCTTCTGCCTTTTTACATGAAAAGTTTCATTAAGGAGAGGCCTTGGGAACGCTAACCCTTTGCTGAGCCCTAAAGACAATTGATTAGCTGTTAGGTTACAACAGTTGCAAGCGGTGACAACAGTGATTGGATAAACGAGCAAGCCGCCAAGTTCATAACTGTGTATTCATTGCGTGCGATCATAGCGGTTTCAACTGCTTATTTCGTTAGCCCAATTAAGAAACGTTCATTTACAAGTACTAAGTGATAGAGTTAGGATTTTGTTTGTTTGTTTGTTTGTTTGTTGTTGTTGTTGTTTTTTGTTGTTGTTGTTGTTTGTTGTTTTTTTTGGGGGGGAGTACTCAAGCCTGTAGCACTGATGACGTTGTCTCTGAGGTGTTGAGTTGTCTGTGCGGTGGTGAGACTGTCTCTGAGGTGTTGAGTTTCTGTGCGGTGGTGAGACTGTCTCTTGTGAGTTCACGTTGGGTTAGTGTAATCCTGGACGAGTCAAATGTACAGAGAATTGAATGTACATGTACTTATGGTACAAATAGAGGGAAACTTCTGTCAGATAGACAGTCAGAGAGACAGTCAGATAGACAGTCAGAGAGACAGTCAGATAGACAGTCAGAGAGACAGTCAGATAGACAGTCAGAGAGACAGTTAGATAGACAGTCAGAGAGACAGTCAGATAGACAGTCAGAGAGACTGTCGTACTTTAAATGAAGTAGGTTCACAGATTAATAGATTAACAACAACCCTCCCCCAACCACACACACGCACCATGAAACACTCGTCCTCTCTATATTTTAGATATTTTAAACTATCTTTTGTATACACTATTGAGGGATAGAGACGCTTAAAATGAAGAGACAAAAAGACAAAGTGAGAGAAAGAGCGACAAGAGAGACACACACATAGAGAGGGAGAGGGAAAGGGAGAGAGAGAGAGAGAGGGAGAGAGAGAGAGAGATAGAGAGAGAGAGCGAGAGAGGGAGAGAGAGGGGGGACAGAGTGAGAGAGAAAGAGAGAGAAAGAGAGAGAGGGAGAGGGAGAGAGAGAGAGAAAAGAGAGAGAGAGAGAGAGAGAGAGAGAGAGAGAGAGAGAGAGAGAGAATAAAGGAAAGAAGAACAAACAAACAGACACACAAACAGACGTACAGCGCCATGTAAAAGCTATCATTTTGCACGCAGGCAGGTCTATTAACCCTTTCCCTTCTGAGTTGTTTTCATCCACCTTTGTACAGGCAAGATAAATGATCATTTTAAACACGCACAAAAGATACCTTTACATACTTCCCCTTATTTAAGAATATGCAACGTTTCATGTTGCAACTGCATGATCTCCTAAACTGTCCTCTGCACACCAGTAGGAAAACGGCAGTGAACCAGTTTGGGAAATCACATGCGAGTGTAAACGTCTTTGTAGCAGCGAAGTTGTTAAAATCTTTTCAACTTGAACAAAGTTGTTTGTCGCTTTCTCCAAAGCTTGAAAGTTGCGCTGTACATAAGTCCGCTTTCTGTTATATGTATCAACCAGGAAGTAGCCTAACGTCAATGGGATACTCTATTTATAGCATAACGTATTCAGTTCCATACACACTCCCAGTCCATTCGCCACCGTTCCTTGCCCGACTGCGAACCGAGCGTCCCTTCTGCAGAAACAGAACAAGATCACCCGTAAGTACGCCTTTAAGAGGAACTTGTTGAAATACGTTGATGAAGAGGGGGGGGGGGGCTGCCTAGTTTGTCACAGGCCCAGTTTGTCACAATTTCATTTAAGTATTTGTTTATTGATGACTGTAATAATTACAGCACTTTAACGCTGTTGTTGTAACTTCAGTTTTTTTAATTCTCTACCTCCAAATTGGTGGTGTAGAGATAGTCCCTCCAAAATGTCAATTCAGCCTATTTTTGTATGCATATCAATGCTAATTACAGTGTAAACTTTCAACAATGAATGTTCTTTCGTTAAAAACAATTGAAAAAAAAATCAATTCATACAATCAATCAATCATTCATTAATTTTTTACAACTCTTTTTGAGAGTGTCAGTGATAACTTCCATCATGCAGGGCACAGTGGAGCCTGTGACAAACTGGCATGTTTCACAGATCTAGTTACTAATAGTACTGTTCTGACAGGAAAAGTAGCTGTCTGTTATCTATCTAGCTATCCGTCTATCGCTATCTAATCTGTCTATGTATTATCGCTCTATCTCATTATATAAAGGTATGTATCCTCCTATCGGTATAATATATTCTATCTAATATCTATCCACATTCCACGTAATTTATTCACCTGTACTCACCTGTTAGGGCTAGTTCCGTGGCTGCGAGGGGAATCGGGGAAGAGCAACTTGTGTTTTACTAATAATAATAATAATAATAGATAGCATTTGTATAGCGCATATCCCCGCTCAGCAGCAGGCTCTATGCGCTTTACACTATATTATTACCCCAGCAGACCATAGAACACTCCGAAACATTCTCAGCTTCCCGGGAAGCATACAGTGCGAGCAGCCGATTAAGCGCTCAAACACTAACAAACTGACAAGATCTTTCGCTGTCTATAGCCGGGTACCCATTCCCACCTGGGTGAAGTGAGGAAAATTCGTGTAAAGTGCCTTTCCCAAGGACACAACGTATTTTTTACGTACATGTATTTTATCTCTTTGTTACAGCTTATCTTGGTGTAACCGTCTACAGTTTTGAATACAGCTAGACCAGATAACTATGCTACATATCGTCTCGATTTCAAAGTTAAAAAAGGGTTGTTTTGATCAAAGACTCAACTTCACGAAATATTACTTTCGCTCACACTGTTGTTGTGAGGTTATATTTAAATGTAATTCACGAAAGGCTTTAGCTGCATCTTGATTAAATTGTTTGCAAAATGATACAAGTTCTTGTTATTGTAGTCTCTGGACTTAGCCTAATCGTCCGCAGACAGTGGGACCTGTGGGCCTCTACATTTCAAAAAAGAGAATAACAGTGTCTTTCAAACAAGTCGCCATTCTGTACAATGTACAGTGACTGTTCAGTGTATAGGTCAGGTCTAGCAGCTGTGACGTCAGATGCACAATGCAGCGAGTGGCCTTGATACATGTACATGACTTCAGATTCAAAATCGACAAACTTCAAAGGGATTTTGTGTCCTAACTCCCCTCTCCTAGTTCTGACTTTGAGGGATATATATATATATATATATATATATATATATATATATATATATATATATATATATATATATATATATATATATACAAGATAAGTTAAAACTGACAGTTGTTCGTCCTCTTTGTGATAGCAAAATTATGCTACATGATGCAGTCTCATTAAAAATATTTACTTTCAATGATCTTCTAAATCCAGCGAGAAAATGAGTCATACGCGAGTTACTTAGGTAATTTTGATACGCTGGCTCCAAATTTGATAGTATTTTTGCGATAGAACGTAGCGTGCAATAAGTTGATAAACCAGATTCTCATCGCCCGCGGGCCGCATCGATATCATGGCCAATGCCATCAAGATGGGGTATTCGCTTAGCACAGTCGCTGTTCCGTGAATGAATTGTTTTCCTGTTTTTAAAAATAAAGTCGATACTCGCTGTTCCCCGGTCCTCTGGGGTGGGGATGGGGGAAAGGGGTGGCAAAAACCGTCAAATGCGGCCTACGTCATATGGCTGGGCAGGTACCGGTACCCAGTAAGGCTGCGATTATAGGGGTAATTTGATACCCTGGAAATACCATCGCTATTGAAAAAAAAATACCCGACGGGGCACCCGACATTCCAATTATCATAATATGTGAGACATCGTGGTGAGATCAGGCGCTCGTCAAAACAATGAAATCCTAGAAATAGCAATTTTTGGCCAGCTGGGACATTGTTTTCCCAATTATTTTTTTTTTAGCTCAAAACCTTGTATGTCCATTCAAAAATACTTTTATGCGTGGATTTTATGGAAAACGTTAATTGAAGGCAAAAAAAATAAGTAAATTTGCAGTTTCCAAGGACTCTAAAGCTATGGAAATCACCAAATTTTTGCTGCCATTTTCTCACTAATTTTACCTCTGTAACCAGGCTACCCCCTCCACATTCTATTGCCAATATCTCGACTTCTATTCAAGACAAATTGATATTTTTTCTATGAAAGCAAAACAAATGAATAACCTTTTAGATGATACCAATAACTCTATAAGCCTTAAAACTGACGAACGCCTGATTCCGCCGCGTTGTGACACATATGGTGTTTTTGTACTGCTCTGACTTTTGTATGTTTTTGTTTTTGTAAAGTGTTTTACGGCGCTCGCAACTACATAAGGTCATACGAGCGCGCGGGACACACCTAATATTTTCAGTTGGTAGGAAATTTTGAATTTTGCCCGGGTGGCAGCCGAAGCCTACTCTTATCGATTTTAGACCACCAACGGATCTTTAACGTGCGCAACTTGCACACGGGCCCTCCGAGATTTTTCGCCCTTGTCCGAGAAGGCTAGGTGTAGATCTTTCCTACCAGAGGATCAGGGGTGTGGCAGAAAGACAGCAGTTAGGAGGAGTAAAGGAGTAGCAGTAGAAAGGCTGCAGAAAGAGTCAGGAGCCCAGAGGAGGGGGCAAAGGAGGTGAGGGGGGTGGGGGCAGAAAGTGAAAATGTAAGCAGACAACAGAACATTACTAAGAGCAGGAAAGGAGGTGAAAGGAGACAGAATGAGAGGCCAACACCTTAACCTCTAGGCCACGAGAGCCCCCCTGCTCTGACTGCTTGCCATTTCAATTGGGTGTTTTCCCTTCAAATACTTTAAGAGGTTTGAAGTTGAAGACCCGTCAACTTTTATTTTGCTGTTATGCTTTTGCAGACGTTACAAGAGGCGCTTTTTTCGTCTTTTATTATTTTCTCAAAGTAATCCCAGGAGTATGACTTTCTTTGAGACATCTTGATAGAAACTGTGCTAAAAGGACAAAGCCAAAGCTATTTAAGCTATCTTACTTCACATAATTTTTAGAAATTTTCCGCGTCTCCGTTGGATTCTTAGAACTGCACACAAGTTGCTTTCATATATAAAGACACCGAAATTAAAACAATAGGCCTAGTCCTACCAAAGTATCGGATTGCTTCTTGGAAACTTTCTAATAACATGCCCAAATGTGGCCTTGTTTGTTGTCTGCTGGTTTCCAGGGAAAAGAGTTACGAGTAGTGGTGGGCACTAGTCAATATTGGCCAATATAGAGTACTGTATTGACTTACAGAGCTCAGTATCGATAGGTAATCAGTACTTAAAAAGGTTGGAACGAAGGGGCTTACTGTAAGTGCATTTGCATAGCATTAACGAAGGGGAGTAGAAAACCCGTGTACCCGACACCAATACCTGGGTAGCCGATTTTGAGCTCTTTACCCGGGTACCCGGGTATCCAGGTACTCGCCCAGCCCTAGTACCCAGTACCGGAACTCCCGGTTCTACCGGAAGAGTTGTCAGTGCCGGCACCAGGCCTCCAGTACCGGATCTGGGAAGGACCCGACACCAACGGTTTTTTACCGGGCCACGGGAAGTGTGCAGTGTGTGGGCCTTGGCCTGGCAGACACACAGTCTCTGACCTCTCGTCCTGGTGTCACTCTCAATAAAGGCACTGGCGGTTCTCTCGAGAACAAGGAAGAAGAAGAAATTCGAGAACTGGCGGTTCTCGGCACTCAGTGCCAGGAAAGGACCGGCACTGGTTTCGCCGGTACCGC